AATATTTTACATACATATATACATAAATATTTTTAATTAAGATTTAAAAATGAATATGTAGTGAATTTTATTTGGAATTATAAATTTCCAATAATCTGTTGCATCTATTTAATTATGATGAATTTAGGAAGCATTTATACAATTCATAAATGAATATTTTTTATTTACTTCTCATTTTATATAGTAACTTTATTAAATCAAAACAAATATCTCCAAAATTAAAAAAAGAAAATATTGAACAAAAATTTTCATGAAAGTATAACTTTTATAAAGTTAAAATAATTTGTTAAAAAGAATAAGAATATTTATCTTAATGAATAAAATTTTGTTTTTTATATTTTTTGAATATTTTTTATATTTCTTTTAAAAAAAACTTTCTTAATTATTTAGTAGATTTGTTTGAAAGTTATGTATATTTTTAGACTTAGCGGTGGCGATAATGGTAGTAATAAAGTTCGCAACGCTGCAGTAGTGAATGCAACGAAACAAGCAAGAGGTGATGCAGATGTTGTAAAGAAACGCGAAGAATTACAAAGAAGAATAGAGGAAACTAGAAGGAAATTGCAAAGTGTAAGCATTACGATATTTATTTCATCGTAAAATTAGATATATTATAAATAAATTTACAAATTTAATTTATAAATCATAATACAACCTAATTATCTGTTAGGTTGGCTATAAATCATCATTGAAAACAAGTCAAAGTATAACCGACTTGAGCAGTCATATACCGGAGAAACATCATCGTTCAAATAGATTAAGTACAGGTAACAAATCTGGTCAACAAAATCAATACTCGAAACCGATTAATCCCTGTAAACCTATGCCGAATCCAAAGCCCCCATTAAAACCTCAACAACTCGTTAACAAAATATCAGGTGTGGGTAATGCTCTACCTAAGTTAGATATTTCAACTGAAAACTGCTTATCCAAAAGCCCGACTACGTCGTGTATAAGTGACAAGACAAAGCCATCTCTTAGTCGACCGTTAACATTAACTCTAAAGAAAACTGAAAAGTATAAGCTATCGCTGAACAAACCAAATCAATCTTTACCCGATTCGCCTGTGTGCGAAGAGTTAAAGCTCTTAAAGGAACAGTGTAAAAAGAATGTCAGTCGATTTGCAAGGTTCGCGCAGAAAAGACGATCGTGCAGCTATTTTATCGGTCTCGATGATAATGAGGAAGACATGGAGAATATAGCCAAGTCTTTCGAGAGTTTACCCGCCATGAACGAGCGTAACATCGAAAATTTGAATGATGTAATGGACGATGGGGATGAAGGAAATGGAAACTTTAGCGATGACTCTCTAGAAGGTGATTTTAAAAATCCACCTCGCCGATGCGTCAGTGACTATCAGATAAATAATATGCACATGGACAATCAAGCTACACAAAGAAATTATTCGACCTATCAGAATTTTCCTAAACGGATTTTAACCGGATCCCAAGAGAGCATCCTTTCAGATGCCTCCGTGGAATCTTTCTCAAAAGGAAGCGCTGAGATTTTGGATTACAGTCATTATGACAACGACAGACATTCAAGTGCAAGCTTCTTCTTGTCTCGTCGAAAGATGCAAGCTGGTCGAAGCCACGAAAGCATTTTGACAGATGAATCCGATTATCAAATGTTCCCGTTACATGAAAATATTGATCACCGAAGTACTGAGAGCGTGTTAACTGACGATTCAGACTCTTTGGTAAAATCTGCACCATTAGAAATGCTATTCGATTCTCATTACAAACGAAAAAGACAAAATTCGGAAACATACAGCGGTAATCCTAACAATGCTGTAGAACAATCAAATAATACTGAGAATGCCGTCAACGATTCGTCTTGTCGAGCAGTATTTAGGTCAAAATCGCTTCAAGATACGCGGATAAGTCAAGTGAGGAATGAAAATAATTATAGAGAGGATAATGTCCAACCTGCAACATGTATTTATTACGAGTTTAACTTCAATGATCAAAATGACACGAATGTTGAAATGAGAATTGGAACGAAATCGGACACAATCTCGCGAAGCAGTAGTTTGAAAGTCCCGAAAGAACCACAATCAATGCTGATTCTGAATGATTTCGTGGCCCATAAACCGCCCAAGCCTAAACGGAATTCCGCTCGAACGCAAAGTATGCGGAACAGAGCGCGTCCTGCGTGGAACAAATATGTGGATTCAACACCTCAATCTTCCCGTGTTAAATCCACAGAATCCGATGATTACGCAAACAAGTCTCGTACAGAGGATCGAACAGTAAGAAATGATACAGATGCAAAGTCTGATGGGAACGAAAACTTGCATACCTCTAAAAGAATCGAGCAGTTATTACAATCTTCCAACTATTCTTTACAGGGTAGCGAAGATAAAGACTCGAAAATCAAATTTTACAGCTTACAAACTCGACGATCTGACAAAGGTATCGTTTACGATGCTGGTGGTCCAATGGACAACTTTGCTTTCGATCCAAACGATTCTACTTGTCAAACGAAAAGCTATCAGCAGGATCAAATAGACGCTCCACATACAGATCGACGTTGCTGCTTTGAGTCTCAAATTCCAACGAAAGACACTCAGGAAACTTATGACTCTTTGGAGCCTAATGGCACCAACTGTGACTTACAGACAACGAATATGCAAACTGCATCGAATTTATTAAGTACGAATGCACGTATTGACAATTTAGATGCGAGTGTTGATCTCAGAATCACTCGAGCCATCGAGGGAACAGTGAAATTGCTTTCAAAGGAATTTGAGAACTTAGTGAGAAGAGAGCAATATTTTATGAAAGAAAAATGTCTGCGAATGTCACACTGCCAAGAAACGAGCGAGAACTTTGCCAAATTGGAGGCGGAAAGAGACGGTAGATTTTGTTCTTTGAGGCGTGACATTAGATTTCATTCTGGAGGTGAGGATAGCGATTTTGCGGATACGTCTGCTATAGACAGATCGATAATGGAAAGCGGTTCCTCAACGTCCGCCTCGAGTTGTACCAATTCACCAAAAAGAATGTGGCCGCCAGCCTCGCGATGTCAAAGTCATATGAAATGGACTAAAACATTACCCACCATTAATCAAGTCATACTGCCATCTAAACATCTTTATGCAGGTACTTACAGCATATACAGGAAAGAAAATTGTTCTCTTGTAACATTCATTTTGTTCCTGTTTGTTGAATAGTACATACTTTCTTATTTGGATGCTGAAATATAAATTTATTTCATAATGTTTTTCGCTGCTCGATTATCGATTTCAATGCCCAGAGAGAATATGGCTACAATAAGAGAACGAGAGTCTTGAGAATATTTAATTTAAGGAAAAAAAATATAAGATACAAATGTCAGATAATTGACAAAATGTTGGGCAAGAAAATCGAGGAACGAGTCATTAAATGTCTATTTGAGTTTCTTATGGCAACTGCAAATCGTGTAAATATCATTATATAATATATAGTAGCACGATTATATAAATTTTTAATTGTTCACTCATTTTTTTCTTTGTGTTCTACGTGCGAATGTTAATTTTTATAATTTAGTCGTTTTATCATATAGTCAATAAGATACTTTTCATATTCTTCTTATTATTATACGGTGAAAGATTTTCTTATTTCATTACCTTATATTAAGATGATAGCGATCATGTACTTTTCAGTTTAATATATTATCTAATATTTTCTTATTTTTTGATTTAGCATGACATGTGATCGATAGCATGTTTTGTCCTTACGATGTAGTTTTATTCCTTTTCCTTATTCCACATTATCGAATTTTTTACCTTATTTTAGTAATGAAATTTTGTGTTAAAATCAATCGTATTAATTAATAATGCTAATATATTGTACTACTATTTACTAGAATTTTCATTTATTTAGTGAGTAAAATGAAGTAAAGTAAAATATACGATTGATTTTGAATCTAAGTTTTATACTTATTTTATGCATTCAACACATACTTTGCATCTTCATTTTTGCATTTTGCAAAAATGCCAAAGCTAGTGATAACTTTTAAAGTTAATTATATTATATTTTATTGTTTCATAATTAATTTATTGCTTTCGCAATATGCATGAGAGAAAAAATAGAAACCTGCTTATTTAATTCTTATATTTTTAAAATTTCTAAACTATAAATTACAATTTATATTATTATAATTCATTGTGATAATTATTTAGAATAGTTGTCATCAATTTCGATATTCTTGAAATATGTTATTAAGATTATCATTCTAAACTTTTTCCTATACATATAACTATCGCTCGCTTTTAGTTTTTTAAATATGCATAAAAATATTTTTGATAAATAATACATCATATCATATTTATAAAAATTTTTTTATATATAAAATTATATAAATTTGAATTAGATTTAGATTTTATTTTAATTCATTTTAGAATAAATTTAGATTAGTATCCATTTGTTTTGTCATGTATTTTTGATTCATTAGATTTTAATAGACGAATTGGACAATAAATTGATATTAGAAATATTATGTTTTTGTCGTCAAACGATACATTGCAAACTCTATTATTATTTCTGCTGTCAATTTGCAGTCAAAAAATCTGGATATTTCTATATCTGTTATATTTCTACAGTCAATTTATTAAGATATTCTATTACAATAATTCTCTTATCTTAAATTTACTATCTTTCTGATCACAAATTTTCACATTAATTTCACATTAATTTTGAAAAATGCTAAGTATAAATTATGCTACTCGGAAATTAACTAAAATCTAACTTAAATATAATCAAAAAAAAAATCTTCGAATTAACTTATGAATTTAATCTTTTTAAGTTTTTTAATAAATTTATTTAATTTCGAAAGTTAATTTGAATATTTTATTATTAATTTCTATTATAATAAGCTATATATAGCTATATATATTATAATATAATTATTCTAAACTTTAAAAATTCGATATATAATATCAAAATTATTTTTGCCTATATCTTGAAAATAGGACTATATAATAGTTATATGTATGAGAAAAGATAATCATGTCTTTGATAATATATTTTTAATCTATCCAAATCATTAAAATGACACTAATTCTAAATGATTATCTTCAAATATAAATTAGATTAAAAATACAGTAGTACTGCAATATTTCATTCATAATATATCAGATTTAAAAGATAGATCTAGCTAAGGTAATTGGTGTACTAAAAAAAAAAAGATACAATTATAACAAATATACAATCAAAAATTTTGAGCTAAGGGAAAAAAAATTGTAGCTTAGTGCATGTGTGTGCGTGTTGTTGTCGACAGTTGGCAGTAGTGGGGGGCGAATCTCGTCAAAAGTTTTTGACAATGAAGAAGAGGGGGGTGGCATGCGACGTGCCTGCTCGCTGAGTGATCTTTCCGTCAGCCCACCAAATAGGTTACTGCATGGTCCAATACAAGGTATCCTTGTTTCATTGTGTGCCACATCTATAAGGGTCTTTCCAATGAGAATTATTTAAGTAGATACTTGCGCTTATGATTAAAGTATATTTTCAAAACTAGTACTTGGTCTGACTATACCAAAATTATTTCTTATTCCTTTTAACAACAAAAATTATCCTTTACTAAATATCAAAATTATTATGACATAAAGTTATTTTAAACCTTTTAGAATATACTTTGGAACGACCCCCTTACAATATAAAATCTTTAATCGATATTTTGATGTTCTGATTATAATGTTAATGATGCTTAAAAACAAATTAAATTTATGTATATAAAATGATTTTAATCTAAGTTGTCTATGTTAAATTTATGTATGTAAAAATCATCATTATTTTGATTTTATTCAAAGTATCGAATAATTTATCATGTTATGTTTATTAAGTTATCATGTTATTTCCTTTGTTTTAAAGAATGTTTATTCATATTAAATTAAATGTTAAATGTATTGAACGAAATTTTTTGTAGAATTATTTATAGGTAAATATGTAAAATTTTTTATAATTTTTTAAATAGCAAATTGAATTTTCATTAACGTATTTTAATAGTTTCAGGGAAAATAGGTAATAAGAATACGAATGCTTCGACGAGAAGTGGATTAGGAAGTGCAAATATCGGGAATCAATCTCGGCATACTTCAACGAAAAATCATTCCTCTCACATGACAAGAAGTAGTAGTGTTGGTGTTTTAAATCAGGTAATTTTTTATACATTATTACATTATATCAAATGATAAGAAATATATTTTTTATTTCAATGATAATGTTACAGAGTGATTCCGAATCAGACGTTGGAGCGGGAAATAGTAGAGGCTGGAACAATCAAGCAGGAAATAATAGAATTAATGCATTAATGAGACCAACAATTAGTTCACAAAATAAAATTAATCATCAAATAAAATCGAACTCTTCTTCCAATAGTAATTTACCATCAGTTCTTAGAAGAAGAGGCATGCAGGGTGCATATTCAAGTGGTAATTATCTATAAAACAAGTTTAAATAATTAAAATATTTTTTACATTAAGAAAATGAATACACAAATCGATAATTTATAGAATTTTATATATCTTAAATATAAGATATAAGATAATTATCAAGATCAATATTTTTGATATATTAATATATTTTCAAAATTCAATTTTATTATAAAATATCGTTTTATCACTTTAATTTGAAATTAAAAATAAATTTAAAAACATTTATCTCTTGTCTAGTAAAGAGAAAATTTGCATATTCATGCTTTTGGTATAAAAAAAATTAAAAATATTTTAATTTCAACAAGCTTTATACCGTATATCGTTATCTTTTAGTAAATTTAAGTCAAGTGGGCAATCAAGAAGATTCAAGTTCGGAAGATACCTCTTCTAATGGAAACGGGGGAAAACCAGCTCTTCCTCCGAGACCACGAAGTATTAGCATTGATCATTCTGCTGCAAAGTATGTTAAATTTCATAATTTTTATATATAATCTTATTAAGTATTAGTTTGATTAAATTATTTTACGAATATGTTATATTCTTTTACAGCTTAAGTTTACCTACAACAGTAAGAAGATCGGGATCAACGACAATTATATCTAATGGTCGCAGTGGAAATAGCACAATAGGACAAAATGCAAATAGGATGTCGACAGCTAATCGTAATCAATTAGATCCCAGTCCTCAAGAACTTCCAGTTAAAGATACAGATCGTGCCATCGATGTAGCCAGTGCTGAATGTAAGTATTGTGATTATCTTACCTTTTTCTTCTTTCTTTTTTCCATATGTGTGTGTTTTTCACAATTCATAATCATCTTGGCGTTTCTCTAAAGTGAAGCATGCAAGATTGCAAGAAAATAATATTCACAATAAAGTCAAAAAATATATTAAAAGATTTTATTTATTGATAAAAAAAATTAAGTTTTTATATTATTTAATTTCCGTCTAAAATATTATAATCTAACAAAGGCTTTACTCTTACAGTAGGCACGGATAAAACATTAGGTAAACTAAAGACACCTATTGAGAATGCTGTCCTGTGAAAATAATAAATCTTTCAGTCTATTAAAAATTTGTAAGTGATCATGCTATGACAAAATAAAATCTCATTCAGACAGAATCGTTGCGAATTTTAGTACAGACTAGAACATAGTCTGTAGATTGCTGTATATAAAATATGCTATATATTATATTCAGAATTTTTGAAAAGAACATAGTTACGTCGTTAACATCGAATGAAGAAAATACAGCTTTTAGTTTAAAATTTATTAATTACTTATGATTTATAATCGTCACTGCATCTTGAAATTTAAAATATTGCATCATTTTTCTGCTTTATGTGTTTAATTGTGAAGAAAATTTAATTATTAATTTTTTTTATTATATTTCAATTACTTGTTTACAAGTATTATAAATAAAATGTAAATACTGTATATATAAATATTCACAAATATTGCTTTATGATAAATATTCATAAAATTTTCCGCGTCATATCAGCCATAAAAAAAAAAAAAATCATTAGAGAATCAATCATGAAAATTTTCTTATTTAATTCATTATATAATCCTGGAAAAATTAGCCCTCATTATTAGAATATTATCCAAATCTCTAAATCGATCACAATAGCATGGTCTCATTACGGATTTTAGAACTGATGTAACCTGCACGCTGCACGATCATCCATCCTTTTTCCATATTATGAAGCGGATATTACATGTTCTTATGTATATTTGAAATACAAATCATGTAACATCCGTTTATATTCTTATATCTGGAATACGTTGTTAAAAATGTAAATGATTTTTTCAATCAATCATATATGTATTATAGCATGCAAGAATGTTTGCATTTTTAACAGCACATTTAATAATATATTTCTAATATGATCAAAATATTAATAAAAGTTTTACTCTTTACAGTGTCAACGCAACTATGCAATACAATCGCAGATGAATTAACACGAACAGCAGACAATGTTGTGCAACTGTACAAACGTTTAACAATAGATAATGAGGATGATCCATCTCGAGCGAGCATCGATAGGGATACGATGCTGCGTGGACTCGAATCATCAGTAAATGAGACAATGCGCACGTTACGGTTAGTCGTGTCAGGCGAAAGTCACGAAGGTACAAGTACTGAAAATGTTACGATAAATGAGGCCACCGCGAAGTTCCAAGAATTGCTTGCCGGCCAAGATCAAGGAAAAGTGGTTAATATGATGCAGCAATACTCCGAGTTGCTCCTGAACATGATGCAACAAAGAATGGGAGGGGCGCAATCAAGCCATACGTAAAATCCGTCCATTCGCTAGTTCTCCAAGGAAAAAACGATCAGGACACTCAACTACACACGGTGCCCAAGTACCGTATGTACCAATACAAAAACTAAATCTCTCAATCTCTATAATACCCATCCTAAAAATATTGAGACGTGATTATTTAAAATCCTGATTTTCGGCTCTATTTTTTAAATTCTCTCAGTGTTTTTTGAGAGCAAAAGCAATTTTGTGAGCACGCAGGATAAAAGATATAACTTATGAACTATATTTTAAATAAGCAGAACCATTGTTTTGTTATAGACGTATTATGAAGTTGATAATTTAACAAAAAAGAATTGGTCGTTTCAAAAATCAATATTGAAATTTTATTTTTTCTCTCTCAAAGCAACAAATCTTTATGTTCAATTGAATAAGTTTTGAATTTTTATCTATAGTCGTGGTATATTCTGTACTGGATAGTGTTTGTAGCCAAAGTTAGTAGAATATTTATCAATTTCGTATGACCAAATATAAAAAATTTGCGGAAGTTTAAACGGGCTAATTGTGCGATTATTACAAATATTCCATTTCGAAATTAATCTTCATTTAGGAGAAAAATTTTTCGAAATTTTGTCCCATTTGGAAGAAAAATATTGACTGCGTGCAACTTACTCGTATCTTGAGGCCATACGCCGTTAAATGCCAATTAACTAAAGACTCTTAGATTAGTTTCCAAATAAATATATACATATATATATATATATTTATCGACTACGCGCGATATATCATAATAATATTAGTCTTCTTGTTATATAACCAAAGGTTATCCATACCTATGGTCTAAAACGCAACCTCTCTTCCTTCCCTGACGTTTAAAAAGCTTCGATGAAACTGTAATAAACGTATACAGTAAGCGATGTAAACTTGCCAGTTCGAGAAAAAAAAGAGCATCTAGTTACTAATTAATGCATTTAGAAAGAAAAAACCGGCTTTGTAGTTTTATTCCGTGTGTCTATCAAAGATAAAATATGGATATGTGATTTTGTACCTTTAAATCGAATATAATCATAAAATATCATTAGAGAGCATCTTCTAACAATTTTAATTTATAGAAGAATATTGTAAAATAATTCCAAAATAGTAAACCACAAATTTTTTAAGATCTAATCTTAATCTAGAAAGAAAACGAAAAATTTATTTTTCGTCGATGAATTAATTTAAAATGAATCTACGATGGATACGCGGAAAACTATGCTGTGTTAGCTGCATATTTTGTCATAGAAATTACAAATATTTTTACACGCGAATAATGTCAAGAGATATGCAAGGCAAAAAGTTCCACAAAGTATCGTAAACTTTTGTTAGAAGTTTGTACTGAATTTGTGAAGGCAAAACGGGCTTTACAAGTTTCAAAGGAAGGAATTGCATTGAGGAATCAAAGTATTAGAAACACATGTATTATTAACAATTTTAACTTTTATTATAACGATTTCATTTCTCTGTTTAATCAATTTTGTAATTACTTTTTTTCCTCTATGTAAAATTTTTCATATTGTATGTAATGTATAAAACGTGCCATTTAGGTTTAATCAGCATCGCTCACATATACTTTCTACGAGAATGTTCTATTGCTTTTTTAGGCATATATTATTAATTTTTTTTTTTTTTTTTTT